ATGTTTAGCTCTTACCTTCGAAGCCCACTCTCTCTAGCAGATTTAGTGGGTACCAGATGAGCGGTTTGTTGCCAACGGGCAACATAGGCTTGGGGGTGTTGTATATTAAATCAGTCATACGTGAGCCCCCTCCAGCCGCCATCAGCACTGCCTGTAGCTCCATGATGTCTGCCAAGACTCACTATGATCATATAAAAATACAGAAAACTTACATTTATGATGACTCTTTCAATAAGTTTCAGTGACCATACGTGCGTATGTCAATTTCAGTATACAGTATATACTAAGCAGACTCACACCATGTAGTGCTGAAAATATAAATCAAATTTCTTGGTGTACAGTATACAGTAATTTTGGGCTACAAATTTGCTGAGAAATACAGAGAACCTGCAACTCACTCTGCAGCTCATCATGTGCAGCATGCCCTGTCCGGCATGTGGTCGAGGAAAACCTCTAATTAAATTTTAAATATGAATGCATTAAAGTACCGATCTCATTAGGGAGTAAAAAAGGCAAAAGTCTCACCTCTTAGAGTCACCTTTGTCCCAGTAGATTGCCTGTTAGTGAAAATGTCAGCGTTGTTGGATGCATATAACTGAGCTGGCTTTCAAAGTTTTTAGCATTTAGCAATCATTTGACGCATATCGCTATCGTGCCAATAAAAAAGAAGCCAAATAGCGGCAGAAACGTCTCCTTGGCACAAGAACCACAAGTGAAAAGAGACTAATACACTAAGGTCAAAACATATGATAAATACTGGAAGAGAAAGTCTGCTGGAAGAATAAGCTCTCCGTTAGCATCATATGATGACAGCTGTGGTCCGTCTGTGAAATATGCCCGATGTAGAAACTCCTTCGTTTGTGCAAAGGTTCCTGAGACAGGAACAGAACAGAACAGATCAGAACGGAAGAGGTATGTGACACGAATGTAATAATAAAAAATAAAATAAACCTAATAAATAAATAAAACAGTACATACATCTATTTTAAACCTTTTTTTTCAGATTAACATTAACCAGTGAAATAAAATTCTCTACACAGTATTGCACATAAATAAATCCAAATGTTACTTTTCTGCACATCTTTAACAGTAAAGCTCACACTATTTTATGTTGCAACAACAAAGTTCTAAGGAGTGTGTGTGTGCATGTGCATTTGCATATGTGTGCGCTTTTTGGACACTTTAACTCAAGATTGTTGGGGTTGTTTATTTTCTATGTGTTGATAATTATTTTAGGGTTTTAGGTTTTAAATTAAGAATAGAATAGAATAGAATAGAATAGAATAGAATAGAATAATCTTTATTGTCACTGAGATTATAGTTGTTGTTTGTTTTTTTGCCAATAAAAAACAAGCCAGAGGTTTTTAGGTTACAAACAGGTTTTAGTATTTGCTGATGTTTTATAAAAATATATATTTGTTCTGCCTAGTTGACAGATGTTCAACAGAATTAGAACTTTTACCAGATGTGCTTTCCCCTCCTTTGGACTACAGGAGTAATTCCAAAGGTTTACGCACAAAAAGTGGTGTGAACAGATTATCAGCCAGAAGCCACCCAGCTCCTCCAGACTTCAAGCTTGAAAACTCCCAATGCACAAAGCTGAGACGTAACAGCAAATTGAACTCGCGGAATGTGGCTTTGGTTTTGTTTGCTCTGGCCAGGAGATGAGCTTGACTGCTCATTGCTGCTTGCTGAAAACCAGCGAGCAAGAAA